GAATGCTTGGCTCCATTCACTTTGAACAGCTCTTTTTTATAATCTGAGCTGCATGAATATGTTATTTTCTATTATTAATACTACTGCCATTCCTGGAGGATCCCATGTAGCTTATATTGTCAATCTGGGGATTCTATTCAAAATCCATCTTCTGGCATACTTCAGTGTATGAGAAGAAGCTGGGAGGCAATGTATTGCATAGTCCACAAGGAGCATCATGGTGACCTCACCTCACTATTCTAGTATTTTCTGTCCTGGCCTTCCAGGGTCTGCAGAGTGACAGCCATGAAAGCATGGTACAAAACATACGGTAAAAATGACCTTCATACAAAGGCAATACATCTGACTTCTGTGCACTATTGAAATAACTTTTGGCTGAAGTCAACCTTCACTAACATCTATGCTATCTTAAAATTTCAATATTTTATTCCATCTCAAGACATTTGCTGACAAGTGACATTTCTCAGAAACTTTCCAAAAGACTGTGAGATAAAAACCTCAAAATCAAGAGGTCAACAGACAGTTTATTTTCGCCCAAACAACCTATGAGTTAAAGGATATTTTTGAATGCAGCTCTCTGAATTCATAGGGTACTTGTGTAGGGGTACCTCAGAAACTTGGTTAGGGGATTTGAGTTTTGGGCCCCAGGACCTCCATACTTATTTAAATCAGAACAGCTCAAAGCCAAACTACTTTTAATATATTAGAATTATTCATGAGAATAAAAAAAGCAGTTGTGTTACTGAAAAGACATTTGAACACATCTGAAATGGTGCCTGCAGGGCCTTGTATAGAGCTTCTAATCCCATCCTAGACTGAGTGAACTTGCAGTTTTTGAAAATCAGGGGCTTAAGTGGCCATAAAACTTTAAAGGACATTCAGGAGAAAGAATCAAAGTAGTTAGAACTTGGAGAGTCTTGTAGCCACAAAACTTGTGAAAACCAGAATTTGGCTCCTATACTTTAATTCCTTACTCAGTTTCTCAAAACTCTTCCCCTCCTACATCCAACCCATCATTTTGCATCCATAATTAATCCCATTCTTATCTGACTCATGTCTGCATCATCTACTAGCACCAAATCCACCTTAAGACTACATTGAATATTCACCTCTACAAAATGCTCACTTAGCATATGCATCAATGCATGGTGGCGGCCACTTTCTTCTTTCCAAATATGTTGAACTTTTAGACTCCAGAACATGGATGTCTGTGGCTGTGCCTCTGCATCTCATTTGTCTCCCTTGTGCCTTCTTGTCCCAAGCTCAGTGGTTCTGTCCTAAGACCGCTTGTCTTCTCTGAAGAGCTCACTGACTCCCCTGATTTCAATTCTATCCAAGTACTAAGGCTACTTAAACGTTCAACCCCTGGGCTGTAGATTCACACATCTCCTCGAAAGTGTCTAAATGTTATTTCACATAATCTAGTCCTACATTTTCAGTTACCATAGTCAATAGTGTCACTTTCTGCATATCTGCCCAATGTAGAAGCCTAGGCATCTTTGGGAATGCCAAAATACTCAACTATTCTCCTCCCTTCTCCTTCTATTTAACTAGTGATAAGGGAACCATGCTGACCCCTAAGTATTTCTCATAGTTTCCTACTTCCCACTCCATTTGCATTCTAAATGCCAGCCAGGACCTTCTGTTTTTCTAGCATCCCTCCCCAGTTCTCATTTTCCAAGGTTCAGGTCAACAGAAATTTCTGAAATATTAATTATTCGTACTTTCCACCATCCTATAGCTGTTTGACATGCTGGTAAATTCAAGTGCCTTACTGGCTTTCAAGACATGTTAAGTCATATTCCTGCTGAGTTCTAGGACCTGTCTTAGTATAGTCTACCAAAGTCTGGGTTAAACATTCTTTGTTTCTATGGCCTTGTCTTATGTTTCTCTTGTCTTTGACTTGAATGGTCTTCAGCATTCTGCATAGATTACTTCCTGAAGAAAGTGTCTGCACATTCCCCAAGTCCTGGAAAACTTAGCACCTGTGTGTTCCCAGCAGCATTGCTTTCTTTATGTGAGCAATCATCATATTGTATCATCACTGTCAGTTTACTTTTTTCATCTCCTATACAGACTGTAATCTTTAAGATGACAGACCTCTGTTATATCCCTTAACGGCATGCTTAGCATTCAGTGACAAATCCCCAATGAATAAGCAAATGGATCATCTCCAGATAACAAAGGAGAATATGTGTGTCTTCAAGTAGGGACTCATAGTGCTTGGCATTTGAAATCTATAAAAAGAAATGGGAACAGGAAAACAGTAGGGAATTTGGATCCCAAAATGGAAGGGATTATTCAGCATCATCTAAAGCACTTGTCATGGGAGTTATATAAAACAAGATTTAAGTATTTATCAAATCAGCACATAGATACATAAACAAAGGATATTTACAGTGGACATCTGGATTCTGCAGGAGAGACTTTATAGTAGAAAATAAATGCTAAAAAGTACCCAAGATCTCCAAATGTAAGCCTCACACCTTTGGTTGAGGGAATTTGCACAATCAATGAGTATTCAAGAAATATTAATATGTTCCACAAGCTAGGGCTTAAGGATTCAAACATCAATATGATTTTTTTAATTTAACAGGCTTACCACATTGAAAGAAAAGTGATTGCTAACAATAAAAGTGATGGTTAGCAAAAAAATCGCTGTTCTGGTGGTTTTTACAAATGCTAGGTAGGAAGAAGGCACTGAAAACTTATTTATAGAATAGAACCACCAATACTGACTTCCAGAAGGCTGTCCTGGAAGAGGTGAAGGCAGAGCTGAGGGAAGAGGTAAAGGAGATAAGCAGGACTTAATCTGACCAAAATGAAAGAAATTTGGGGTGTACAGGGCAGAGGATGCAACCAAAATTACATGAGTAATTAAGGACACACACAAAGCCAGAGCCTAGTTCTTGGAGGAACAACGACAAGACTCAAACCCAGGCATGAGCATCCACACTCAGGGGACTAAAGACAAGAGATAACCAGCTCTTTAGAGGAGATTAGTAGGTCTAGATAAATGGTTCAGCAGTTAAACGCAGCTTCACGAAATCTAATGTCTCTGATATCTGTAGGCCTGGTATATACATGGTGTACACAAATACATGCAGAACAAACAACCATATATAAAAAGTAAAAATCTAAATACATCTTAAAGAAAATTATTAATATAACCAGATGTTATGTTGAAAAATCTACTCAATGCATTGCAAAGTGCAGAGATTAGAAAAAGCAACAATCTAGGAGTTTTAGATAACTTTAAGCATAAATGGATTCCTTATACACATGACATCTCCCTACCTTCTCTCACTTTGATGGTAGTGGGTGACTTGGGGGTGATCTCTCAGGTTTAAAATTATAGAGCCAAGGTACCACCACCAACCCCACAAATGCTGAATTTTCTCCCATCTGGTACATTAACAAAATTATCCTTTCATACAATCTGCAAAGGTCAAGCTTCTGAATTCCTTTCACAAGGTGAAGGCCAACTCAGAGAAAAGACAATGGAGCAGAACGTGGGGGATAAAATAATCTTTAAAATGACTTTGGACTATCTAAGGAAATCCTTCTGCCAGATTTCATCCTGTGCCTATAGGGCTCTTACCCATGTGCAAATACTGTTTCTTCTCTTGTTTGTGAAACATTATAAACTTGGTAAATTCAGATCATTTAGATGGGTGCCTTTGTTAAAATATCAGCACAAGAACAGCTGGCTTATCTCCTTTCCTGGGGAGGAAAGGCATTCCTGAATGTTCCTGGCCGATCTGTCATCTCTTCCTCAAGCCAAGTGACAAGTGAGTGATGCAGAGGGGCTTCAAAAAGTTCAAACCATATTGCATAGCAGATGCTCTGGAACTATTATTCAGAGTCTGCCTGGGCCCCCTATTGGCCTCTGATTCCCTTGAAGCAATTTATGACCTACTCTCTCTTTGCATCACTTATGCTATGACCAAATTAATCCAGAAGATGCATTAACCTCACCTCTGCTTCAATGTTTCTGAAGCCCTCCCCTAGTCCCCCACACCATGCCACCATCTATACACATTATGCCCTTCTGTATATTGTCTACAGCAGACATCTACTAGTGCCAAATGACCAATTTGATATATACTGAACTTTTACCTAATTCACTAGTTCTGTTCCTTTCTGCTTTTGTTCCATCATAAATTCTCCAGAAGCCTCCATTTTTGAAGATAATGATCTTTCTTATTTCTATTTCATCATACTTTCCAAGCTATCTAACCTTAAAATTAACTCGGGTTAACAGTAGCACAATGCTCGCTCTATATGATGTTCTATAGACCGTCTTTGGATAACCATTCCAGAAGCACTAGTTAGTCATTATTATAGTTCTTCTAACAATTGAATCCCATCTTTGATATACTGAGACCACAAAACACTTTGCATTTATACATCGTGTTGAATTCATGACTGCTACCTACACTGCAGCAAATCAAGCGAATTAGAGTTAGATAAGTTTTATTAGAATTAAGTGTCCTCACCCAGGGGCTATGGAAGAATGTTACTTATAATTCAACATTTATTAGGCTTTTGGAATGGACTGGCTTGTTACAGAACAGAGACCCAGGCTCAGTTTTCCTGCAAGTAAATGACAATAACTCACCATCATTCTGTCCATTTCTTTCTTTAAAGGACTGCAGAATGGAATGTATAATGTTTTTTTCCACAAACAAACATTACATGGCTTGATAACTTTCATAAGGAAAATATTTTTCTTGTATCTAACCTATACGTTCAGTTGAAAAGAGCAAATTACTCTAGTTAAAGAATCAAGAGCAAAAATAAATGCCTAATAGAGGAATATTGACAATCAATTCTTTCAGAATTCATTCAATTCTCTTTTCTATCTTTAAGTAGTATGGTATCATACTTCATCACCTTCCTGCCTCAGTCTCTCATATACTGGGATCACATGTACATGATGCAATACTTGGAATGTACAAGCTTTTTGATAGCATGTGGTCATGATGTGCTACACTCACCTGTGTATGGTTGCACTGAAAGTATACCAGTAATTTCAATATTCACCATTTCATAGAATTCATAATTCAAATGTACTCTCTTCAACAGACCTGTAAAATAATTAGATTTGTAAAGCAGAGAATTTAAATTAACTGTCATTCATATCAGAATTTTGATTACCATAGCAAACTAATTTCAACTGAGGTATAATGTTGTCTACCTGAGTAAGAAGTTTCAAAATAAAATAAGTTCAGCTTCCTGGAGAAGAGTGGGAGGAATGATCAAGATAGTTAATGTTCTCTTTTTGTTGAACTGAGCTGCTTAGTTACTGAGTGCAGACAGGAATATTATGTAAATAAATGAACAGGTGCTGTAGAAAACACATAGCCATTCAATGAGCTGAACGTATCATTATATCCCATGTAAATTGAAGTTCCCAGAAATAAAAGGCTCAGTAGTGTTAATGCTTCTACAAGGCTGACGAATTAATTAGAATTTCTTTGAGTGTAGAGAGATGGATTGTGTAAGTCCAGAGTCAAACTATCCTGGCCCATCTTTAACTCTCTTAAGAGTCATTTATTGTCCACCTCTGCATTTGACTTCGCTCCTAATATTAAAATGATTAGGAAAATTGGAATGTACACATACACCCTCAGCTTCCACCAGTACAAAGTGTAAGGATGTCACCCGACAGCATCTGAAGTGCACAGTGAAATCTCCTTGATTTATTTCCAGACATTTCCCTGAGCAATTACATCCTCCTCAAATTCTCCTCTACCCTGGGCCCAGTCAGGCAGGGGCCACATAAAGATGCATCACATGGCATTTTCCTGAAAACAAAACTGCATGCCACTAAGGAAATCTAATAGTCTAAACCTAGAGATATAAGAAGTGAAGAGATAAGGTGTGGAAACTTGTACCATTGAATCGAATATCTGCAACGTGTTGATTTAATGGTGGGTAGCTGTATGCCTTGGTTGTATTAAATGAATAACTGTATGCCTTAGTTGCATTCCAGGAATAACTGTGGAAGAAAGTTGTGCATACAATAGTGGTTACAGGACAACTTTTGACTATTAGTGCTCCCTTTACACTTCTGTGTGGGAATTGAATACAAGTTGTCAAGCTTTCAAGGCAAGTGCCTTTACTCAGTGAACCATCTTACTGGATCACAAAAGAAAATTTTACAAACTCTTATCTGCTTGCCAGTAAAGTGGTCTTGGATATGTCACACACAAACCAAACAACTTTTGGAAGCATATATTCCTTTTTCTATTTTTATTTTATTTCCCAACAAAATAAATAAAAACATCGAACTAAGTGATTTCTAGGGTTTTGCTTCTAGAAATATCATTCGTTCAAACATTTACAAAAAGTGTCCTTTACACATCTTAATATGATCTACAAGATATAATTTGTTTCTTGGTATCATAACTACATCCAGTAAAAATCTTATATAATATTAAATATCCATGAGTAATTCTATTTCTTGCTGGAAGTAAAACTTAATCTTTCTTCTTTATTATAGTCCAGCAAGGAAAGTATTGGTACCTTTCACTCTGAAGATGAAGAAGCTGAATTCCAGAATATAAAGAGCTCTTTCCACCAAGTGATCCAGTGAGGGATAGAGAACTCTGCTCTCGCTGCACTCTGACTTCTGAATATCATATCAGGCATTTAACTAACCAACAGAATCATATAGAAATTAATTTTAATTATTTTATGACTGAGATATAATAATAATAATGATAATCCTACTATACTAAAGCTTTTCTGTTATGCCAGCCATGGTTCTCAACATTTTATGAGCCCTTTATACTAACAGTAATATGGAATGAAAACAGGGAAACAAAAGGTCCAAGAGATGAAAGTCACACGTCATGGGAGATTGTCTTGAATCCTTCTGTGTGATGCTGGAGCTTTCTTGTTCCATATATGTCTCTACAGAAACACCCTTGATTGGAAACTGATGGGCTTTTCTTTAAAATGCAGGAAATAATAACAAAGCTTGGTTGATGTTTAGTCACCTGATGGAACATTTCAAAAGCAGATTTCATCATTCGTCCCAACTTTTAGGCATTTCAAAAGGCAAAGTGGTCACAGCACTGCTTTATCATTCCAGGGTGCTCAGAACCTTTCCTGAAGGCATCCGTTGCTATGGCTTTTCTCCTCCTACCACCTCATGCAGCCACAAGACTAATCAGATTTCCATCCTATTAAAGGAACCTGATTGCCTCAGTAAACTTATGTGCATCATTATAGTACTGAAGGTGTGTTTCCCCATATGCGACGGCATTTCGTAAGTGAAATGTAAGTTGGAAATTGCAAATTAAATCACACTTTAATGTATTTTAATGTACAGGAGCCACTCAGCAACTACACAGGTATTAAATCAAAACCTTGGAGACCAAGGAATGATTGAAGTAAAGTGTTTATTGAATCATGGCAAATACTAGTCAGAATAGGGAAGAAGCTGGTTTAGAAACTCCCAGGGCTCAGAAGGATGTAGCAGTTGTACTATGTCTACAGTGTCAGAGCTGAGAATGTTTTCCATAAACTTCTAGAAATAAAAGCATTGTAACCCACATTGTCTATGGACAAGTGGGCAGACTACGGATATAGAGAAACCTTCAAGATAAAGTGACAACTTATAATAGGAAGTAATAGGAAGTGTGTGTGTGTGTATGTGTGTGTGTGTGTGTGGCTGTGTGTAGGAAGTGTGTGTGTATATAGGAAGAGTGTGTGTGTGTGTGTGTAGGAAGTGTGTATGTGTGTAAGACATACATTTTGCCCCTCCACCACAGTTTCCTCTCCTGTCTCTTCTCCCAGGCCTTCCCCCCACGTTTCCTCTCCCCCAGATCCACTCCTCCTCCATTTCCCTTCAAAAAACAGCAGCCCTCCCAGGGACATCAACTGAACATGCATAGTAAGACTGGGCATATACTCTCATGTCAAGGCTGGATGAGGCAACACAGTAGAAGAAAAGGTGTCCCGAAAGCAGGCCAAAGAGTCAGAGGCAACCCCTGCTCTCACTGTTAGGAGTCCCACACGAATGACAAGCTACACAGCCATACATAAATACAGAGTCCCTAAGTCACCCATGCAGGCTCCCTGATAGTCACTTCAGTCTCTGCAAGGACCTATAGGCCCTAGTTAGTTGATTCTATAGGCTGTGTTCTTGTAGTTTCCTTCATCTCTCAGGCTCCTAAAGGCCTTCCTTCCCCTCTTCCTCGGCATCCCCAAACTCTGCCTAATGTGTGGCTGAGGGTCTCTGCATCTATTCCTATCAGTTCCTAGATGGAGCCTCTCTGATGATGATTACCAAACAAGACTGGCAAAAAGAAAAAAAAAGTCAATGAAATGATTCCTAATGATATTCTGTAATACTCACAGATAAGAGTATTTGCATTTCTTGATTGCTAGAATTAACAACCCAAAAGCTTATGCCTGAACAGGTTATGATACTGACCAGTATGGTCAACAGTGACAGATTCAGAGCAGGGTTTAAATGCAGGATCGTTTGGTGCTGCCTAACCCCAGTCAACTGTCTACTAGTCGCTGGTCATCTCTTTCCTCCTTGTATACTTCTGCATCTGTGATTAAAATTAGGTCATCGCAAAGGTTTCTGTTTCATCATTTGTATAAAGCAGAGGCCTTTTTCTCTTTTCTATTCCAGTTTGGATCTTCTGTTTCCTTTCATAAAAGATACTTCACATAGAAGAAATTTTAAATGATTTGCTCTTGTGCTTACTTTATTATTTCTTTTATTTTTGAGGTTTTGATACCACTTCATAATTTCTCCTTCCCCTTTCCTCCCTCTAGGCCTTCCCATACCCCCTTCCTCACTTGCTTTTCAAATCCATGCTTCTCTTTCTATTTTGTTGCTGTATGCATATATGTATAAGTACAATTATCATTTGTCAATTAAAATAAAAGAAAATTTCTTGGATGAAGGAAAGAAGATGAGTAACAATTCAAAAACTTTCAGCATATGAATGATTCTAATATCACATAGATTTTGGTCTTCTTAATCTTTTTCTACAACACCAGAAAAGTAAGGTTGCAAGCCCCTCATTGTGAGTGTACTGTTGGAGACACTAGTATACAACTTCATGACACAAGACTTGCTATTCTAAGTTTCCTATATTTATATATTCATGAATATAACCTTCTCAGTCTGTATAATGTTACCTGAATATACATTTCTAGGGCTAGCCATTTGCTATTGGATAACTAACTGATTTGAAACCCAGCTAAAAATACACTTAGGTTAAGATTTGTATGCATACTAAAAAATGCTTACAGTATCTTTGATCAATATAATTTCTAGACTACTATGAACTGGAAATAACAAATTATTAATTTCTTTGAAAGGGATCTGCTTCTGGCTATGATACATCAAACAGGAATATCATATTTTTGTCAGAAAGCAATATCCCAATTTATACACCAAATGTGTCCACGGATTGAAGCTGGCATTTAAAAAAACTCTAAAATTTACATGAATCTAGTGAAGGCTTCCCTACACCATCTTCAAACAGCCAATTTATTAAATTTATACACTTTACCAAGCCATTTGTACATCTAAACTTAGTTTGCAAGATTTGCCTTTAGCCTCAAAGAATTTTCTAGCCTTTTACAGTGAAGACACTAAATGTCATTCACTCTCATGATTCCCTTAATGTGAAAACTATTCAAAGTCAATCTTAATGGTGTGTGCTTTGAAGTCATAAAAAATAAAACATTCCAGGGACACTTCAACATCTTGTAAAGCAGGCTCTTCTTTCAGACTGGAATGTTCTAGCTACTATGGTCTACGTGGCTAACTCCCATTCCTGTTTCACTCTGCTGCATAAGCATCATTGTCGTAGTTTCTGCTCCTGCTTCTGGGGTAAAATGCTCTGACAAAGGCAACACAGAGGAGAAAGCCTTTGTTTGAACTCACAGATCAAGGTTACTGTCTGTCATGGTGGATAAGTCAGGATGTCAGGGACTGAAATAGCTAATCACATTACATCTTCAGGCAAATGAATACTCACTTTACTATCGCTTAGCTCACTTTCTCTGTTCACCTTATTTCCCAGGATCCCCTGCCTGGAGGATGGGGCCA